CAGCTGCCTCCTGCACACCTCCCACTGGGGATGTGCCTGCAACCAAGGTACATGCCCTTGACCAGAATCGAACCTGGGACCCTTCAGTCCGCAGGCCGACGCTCTATCCACTGAGCCAAACCGGTGACGGCGAGCATTTTTTAATATAGTTTCATGGCTCTACTCATTATCCTACCTTTCACAAAACTATTGCATCTTGAAATAACTGCCTGCAGCAGCACTCCTTAAAATGTGTAGACCACTTGAATCAGAATCACCTGTTGGGTTTTTTTTTTTTATGAGGCCATCAAGATCCTTAAAGTAGCTTTCATTCAGCCTCAGAACATCTTTTTAATATATTTTATTAATTTTTTACAGAGAGGAAGGGGAAGGGATAGAGAGTTAGAAACATCGATATGAGAGAAACATCGATCAGCTGCTTCCTGCACACCCCCTACTGGGGATGTGCCCGCAACCAAGGTACATGCCCTTGACCGGAATCGAACCTGGAACCTTTCAGTCTGCAGGCCGACGCTCTATCCACTGAGACAAACTGGTTACAGCTGTTGGGTTTTGTTAGAAGTGTAGCTGAAACCCATCACAAACCCACAAACTCAGAATATCTTGGGGGTACAAACCAGAAAACAACATTTTCAATCAGCCCCGAGGGAATTCTTACATAGTCTAAATTTGATCATCACTGGCACTTTGTGACACTGCTTTCTGTAAATTAGAGCAACTTAACAATTCCTTCCTAAAATAAATTCTGGGTTTTTTTCTGTAACTGTTTGTATATATTAGCTTCAGAGCTGGAAATAAAGAAAATAATTGATCAAAATGTTCCTATTGTGGCAAAATATATCAGAGAGAGAAAAAGAAGATGATGACTTCTGTGCAACAAAATAAAGGTCCTGTAAGCAAATGAAGGTTTATAAAGTACTAATTTAGTAGTTGGTGAACTCAGGATAAGTGTTCTGGCTATTTGGAGCTGGTAAAGGTAATTGGGAAGATAAATTGTGTTTCTTTGGGCTGCCCAGATTTGAGATATTATGCCACTCTGAGCAAATAGATAACTCTACTTCTATCTCCAAACCTCTTAATCCAGTCCAGTCCCATTCATGATAATCCATAGGATAAGAAATTGCCAATTTACCCATATTTGCTGCTAAGAAAAGTGGTCTCATGTCTTTTAAAACCTAGTTCTGCACTATACTCACTGGCTTCCAGTTTCCCAAAATTAAATCTATCATCTCTCCCAAATAAGACAACATTTTCCCTTTTGTAATTTTGGCTAGAGGTCCATTCCTAGGCCTACCTCTTCCGCTGAATTCCAAGAGTATATAAGTTTTCTTAAGATATTCATTGGTACACAGATGCTCTCCCAGGCTACACGTTATATTAGCAATTTACCCTGGTAATCTAGCAGGGGAAAAAACAGTCCTTTTTTA